GGGGGGAGGCAGAGCTCCCCGCCGGTGTTCCGGGGGGGTGAGAGCGTTCCAAGCCCTTGGCCTCAGGAGACTGTTTGCCCTGCACAACGCGCCGTGAGTGGTCGGGCGGGGGAGGCGGTGAGAGGGTCTGTCGCGCGGCGTACGGCCGTGAGGAGGTCTGTCTGGCGTTCAGCAGCGGGCACTCGGGGGGGGGTGTCCCTTCAGTGCTGGGTAGCGCTGGCCCTGGGGTCAGAGGGTGCTGTCGCTCAGTTTCACTCCTGATGGCTCTAATGTACAGGTCCATGACATGTTCGGGGTTTTCTTATGCTTACCCGATGGTTATTCATTCTTTACACTGTATATATGTGCACTTACTTCTAAAATACAGTCGTATTTGCTTTCATTTTCGACGTTTAAATTGTTATACAGCGTATCCCTTAAGACAGGTACATAAGAGAAATGATTTTACATTAATTTTGACACTTGAAGGTCTGTTTTCCAACAATCCCTGCTTTAATTCATTATTTAAAACTTGACTGAATGGCCTTCTTGAAGCTGTGCTAAAGATCACTTGTAAATAGGTGTAGCATTGAACGATAACATTAATGCATCTTTTATTTTGAAGTGTTTCAAATCTCCCATTCGGAGTAAACCCCGCTCTTGCTAACACTGCTCACATGCTTCCCATTAAGCACAAGGCCATAATCGCCCTGCGTGGCAGTGTTTGTACACTGAAGATCGAGCACGGGCACGTGTGCTGTGATGCCTGAATTGTTTTTCCCTTCCCTCGTTTCCTTGGATCAAATCTTGCTCTTGCTGCCGTCATCCTGAATTTCGGCTACTGGCTTCAGTCAGACTGCTTGTAAACAGGGTGTCAGCTGTGTTCTCTCAGCACTTGCTGAGGATCAAAATAAAAACCAGCCGAGACACTGGATATTTCAGTATCAGAACAGCTTGTTAAAGAGTAAACGCCGCTGGCAGCACCCTCGGAGGACCCAAAGACTGGCCTAGGAACTCAAAACTTGTGCAGAAAAGAACAAAGGGACAAAATGGAGTTTGAATTTTGTGTGTTCCTGTTCAGTTTTATCTAGGTATGAAAACCAGATCACGATTTTGTCAGACTACTTAGAAGAATTTCCAGAAACCGATGAGCCAGTGTGGATTCTAGGAAAGCAGCACCACCTGAACACAGGTATCTAGAATGAAGAGTCAGCTCTCGGATCTGTGGAGCGTTCATAGATTCACGTGCAGCTGCAGCCTCCCAGTTCCTCGCGTTCTCTAAATGTACCCCGAGGGAAGTGTGTTTTTCTCCGTGAGCAGGAAACCAGCTACGAGTTGCGGTATTCATCCTACCGTGACACCAGAAGTTTACCAATGCACTCTCTACCGTAATTCATGCAGAGATTGTACTTGTAGCAAGGGGTGGTCAGGTGTGAGGCATCACCTCTCAGCATCAAAAGCCTCAGAAATAGATAAATAAATAACTTCTGGGGAATGTTCAGTATTACTACTGTTATTTTCCCTTGAGGGCTGCTGTCTGCAGCCTGCTCTTTGCAACCAAAATGATATTTCAAAATATTAATAACCATAAATTAATCTAAAACATATACTGTATTCTGATGAAAATAAATATATCATAGCAGAGCGATGTATTTATGTAGCATATAAAAATAAGATTTTGGGAATGAGTTTTGCTCCTTGGGGGGAAGACAAGGGCACTCTCTGTGTTACCTGTCGCAGGCCATGAGTGCAGACATGGTGTTCAAGCCAGCTGAGGGTACCACGCACAGCCCCGGTCGGCTGAAGGCTCCCCCAGGGAGGCCGGTCGGTCTGAGCCAGGGCTCAGGGAGGCTGCAGCAAATTGATTCTTAAGATTTCTTCAGGGCCTTTGGGAGAATTCTGTCAGCACATGTGTTTGGGGGGAGGCGGGGCAGAGAGAGATTTAATTAAATTTAATATTATTCACCTTTTCTTAAAAATGACTCTGTGTCAGGTTCGGAGGTAGTGGGTTGTTCTTACTGGTGTGAGTGTAGAAATCCTTCACCTTTCTTAACTTGCTTTACCAGCTCTTTCCTGAGGACAGAGTTCTACCTAGTTTTTCTATTCAAGCTGGGCAGTCGTTCCAAACTCCTTGTAAAACTTCATTGGCTAAAAGTTATTTCATCCTTCAATCAGGCGTCTACAAAACCTCGCCATGTTTAGATAGCTAACAAATGCCTTCAGCATTAAGGGTCTTGTATGTAACAGCCAACAGGGGTCTTCCATGCACTCTATGTATTGACTGTATGGGGAAAATCAGAATTTTTCAGGTTTAAAAGTTAATTTTAATGGTTTCTCTCCTCTGAAAAACATTCCAGACAAATCTAGGTTACTGCTGGATGTGAGTGCTCGCCTCTGGTTTACCTACAGACGGAAGTTCTCGCCTATTGGTGAGTATGTGGCAGACCAGCTGCCCCGTTCTGAGTTAGATAGCTGGGTTAGTGAGGTCGTCGTGGGCTGAAAAATGATCTTTAGAGCATTAAAACATTTTGAGCGTCATTTTAACTGCTTATGCAAACAAAATATTAAAGCTATTCCAGATAGTGTTTACTTGTACCTGCATATAATCAGGTCCTGATGTCTGTAGAGCAAGCAGCGGAGTTAGACCGGCGGTACGGAAAGGTCTGGCTCAGCACCTTTTATCTGTGGGACGGTTGTTGGGGTCTGACTGTGGCATCTTCTCTGTGGCGCGGCATCAGTTTAAAGCCCACACTGATGGGATTGAACCCTTTTCATAGGAGGCACAGGCCCTTCGTCTGACGCCGGCTGGGGCTGTATGCTGCGGTGCGGGCAGATGATGCTGGCGCAAGCGCTCATCTGCAGACATTTAGGAAGAGGTGAGCTCTGTCGCTGAGAGAACTTTTGTGTTGTTTGGAGACCGTGTAATTACTGTTATAGTTTTCCATAAAAGTACAAAACCTAAAGTTATTAATGAAACTTTGATGCCCTGATAGAAGTTACGAGTGAATTATTCTTGTCTGACAGGGCGGAATCATGCCAGCCTCAAGCAGAGGAATAGGAGGATAAGTAGGGAATCCCATTCTCCTTATTTTGAAATCTTTTTGAGGACTATCAGGTTGAGGCCAAGGCAAAACCTGCAGCCATGGATCTGAGTTCTTATCCATCTCTGCATTGCTTACACAGCCACCAAATGCCCGCACAGAGTGACGGTGCGAGTAGTGACGTAGTGATAGACACGAAGTCCTGTGCAGGCCGCTCACCCCTCACCCCGCAGCAGAACCCGTTAGCACAACTGTTGAGCCTGTGTCAGCACCTCACACCCCAGGATCCCGGGCAAGTACCGCAGGTCTGCTCCGTGTGTGGCTGCGGTGTGGGTGGAAGTGTCACTGTTAAGCCTGCAGCCGCGCACCAGCGCGCCACGGTTTCTGTGGATTTATCCACTTTAATAACAATCCGCAGGATTTATCTGCTTGAATAACTGAATCCGCAGGACGGAGGTGCAAAGGTTTAGGTGAAGGAGCAGACAAAGAAAGACATTACCTGAGCAGACTAGAATATGAACTCGTAGTACGTAGCTACATCACAGTGTCGGCCCCGTGTGTGTGCTGTGCTGTCAGTGAAGGGGAGGTAACTACCTGAGGTTAGAAGCAAGAGCATACGTGTGGCACAGCTGGTTTGGATCTTGCTGTGGGCAAGGGCCAGCGCTGTGTTTGGACTTTGCTTTATGGATCTTATGTCATTCTCTGATGGATGCTTATCAACCTAACAAAATCTAGGCAGAGCCGATCGTTTTAAACTGTCTTGGAAGCGCACACATAGCAATAGCTGTGAGTTCTCAGCAGTGATCACTCAGGTGTATTTGCAGTTGACCTTTTCATTTTATTTTTCCAGTTTTCACAATCTGGCCTGTGATGATAAAGGACAGCTTGGTAACAAATGACAAGCTGTGACTTCTAGGAACTCTAACCAGAATGTAAACATGAGAGAGGAATTGTACATCCCTCTTAACATCCCATTATACGGCTTTCTGCTGTCTAGAACTTTGACTGGGTTGATGGAAACATTACTATTTTTTAATCCGTGTAACTTTTTTCCTGTAAGATTGGCAATGGGAAAAACACAAAGAGCAACCAGAAGAATATCACAGAATCTTACGGTGCTTCCTAGATAGAAAGGACTGCTGTTACTCCATCCACCAAATGGGTAAGAACCCACATCAACTCTTTGTTTTCCCTGCTGAAATTCTTACTCTGTTGAAACTGTCTAATTTGAAATATGTTAATTCAGAATTCCAAGAAGGTGATTATGAAGACAACGTATATGTTTACGTATAAATAAAAATGCTTGCAAATGGGTACAAAGTATAATAATTCAGAAATTTTATTCACTGAGTCCTAAACAGATGAGTGTACTAGAGTCTAGCACTTGATAAAGTGTGTAAGCCTAGGGTACCAGAGTTGATACCATCAAAACAGACAGTCACAGAGCTTACAGCTGTGATTAGCGATAAAGGACACTGTAATTCTCACTGCAGTGTAGAAACTTTTTGTACAGGAACCAGCAGTCATTAGGATTTGAAAATAAAATAGGTGAAGAAAATAATTGTTGCCAAATACAGTTTGCAGCTGCTCTAGAATGTACCTCAGATCTTGGTAGCTCATGGCATTTAACACGTGCCGTCACCAGCTTCTCTGTGGTCTTTCACTTTTTCCTCTGTGTGTGCGTTTTCCCTCGTGTAAACAGCGCAGATGGGCGTCGGAGAGGGGAAGTCGATTGGAGAATGGTTTGGACCAAATACAGTTGCTCAAGTACTGAAGTAAGTCAGATGCACTGCCTCTTTCCGAATCACAGAATCCTGGAATGGTTTGGGTTGGAAGGGACCTTAAAAACCATCTAGTTCCAGCCCCCCTGCCATGGGCAGGGGCACCTTTGCTAGACCATGTACTGCCCTGGGGCAGCTGAGCTCAGAGCCCAAGGTGAGGCCCAAGATACAGTTTTACAGGCCGATCCCTCCCTCTCCCGGTATCAGGAATACGTATGCCAAGTGGTTGGAATTACAGTGCGGAGCATGGTGCTGTAGCCGGGTGGGCAGGTGCTGAGCGGGGCTTGGGCGAGTTCTAAATGTTAACGTACCTGGGGGAGGCCTGCAGAAAGCCCTCCCCTGCAATAGTGTCTGCGTGCCCTGAGCAGAAAGCACCAGGGACACGTATTGCTCTCCGCGGAGTGGCACGGCTTTGGCAGGTCGAGGGCCACCATCAGTCGCACATCGAGCGCAGATCGGGGCGGTGGTACGAAATGTCAGAGTGAAGCAGCCCCAGCCAAGGAGCTGAGTTCCTCACTGAGCTGCAGTTCTGCCCGAAGGCTGCCGCGTCAGACGCGGGCAGCTCCCCGTAGCCTGGAACCCGCACCTAAACCTGGCTCTGCGTCTGTGGGGTAGGGGAAGGTACCGGCTCTCAGGTCGAAGACCTGCTGGACTGCAGGTCCTCAGCAGCCGTGGCACAGACACGAGTCCCGGGGAGGGAGAGAGGAGCTGAAGCGTGCCCTGGCCTCCAGCTCTTGTCCCTTGCAAGTTCTTCAGGGTTTGGTGCTCACGTACAGGTTTTTCTGGCTTGGTTTAGGCCGCAGACTCTGCCTGAGGGTAGCTCCCTTCCCAGAGTTCTGGATGTCACACAAGTGGGCAGAAAGCGGTGTGCTGCAATGCCCCCCTCCCACCTTTTGGGTGCCAAAAACCTTTGGCTGATCTGGCTTGTAACGCCCCGAGTCTGCTGTCTGCACGTGCGCAGAAACGGTGCCGCTGCGTTTGGTGGAACTTCCCGCGCGAAAAGTAACGTGCAGAACTGGTGCAGGAGTGTGTTCCTCCTCTAGACCACGCCGGGCACAACGGGCAGGATCTCACTGCGGGATTTGGTAAAAGCAGTAAAAATAAACCTAGTTACGTGGTTGAGCTGTCGCTGCAGTTGGCAGAAGGACAAAGCGGTTTCCGCGGGGCGCAGTGTGCGCGCACTTTTCCTGGCACCGCTCGGTATTTATGTTTGTAAATGTATGAAACACTCAATATTCAGTTATCTTTTTATTTTATTAAAACAATAATCCAACAAACACGTTTTTCCAAAGAAACAATTTAATCTTTTTGCTCAGCAACCATCTAATTGTCCTGAATGAAAAGCTACCCTTGTGGTCTTAATTAGTTTGTATTAATAATTACCTTAATGTTTTCTAGGAAGCTTGCTTTATTTGATGAGTGGAATTCCTTAGCAGTTTATGTGTCTATGGACAACACAGTGGTCATTGAAGACATCAGTAAGTGAAACGTTCGTCCCCTGGTTATGGTTTTTGATTGGACTCCACTTCCCAGAATGTATGAACAGAATCCTTTTGGGGCATCCCGGCTTGTTCCCAGGGTGCAAAAAGGAATAACAAAATGCCAGCTCAGGTTTTGGGTGTCCCAGACTAGAGCTAGCACAGAGGGACGTAGGCCCTTTTGGGGGCCAGCTTACACACCGTGCAGTCTGGGAGAAGATGGAGTTCGGGCTGTGCTGTCTGAACTGCCCCAGGGATTGGACGGAGTTGCGGTGTGTAGAATTACGGAGAACTGCTTTCGTACAGTTTGCCAGAGGGGTGCTTTGTCAGGCAAAAGAGAAACCAGGGGCAGATCCGAGAGGAACACATGGCCAGGCTTAATTTTTTAGTTGTAGGAAAGGTGGGTTTGCAGGTGCTATTTAGCCACAGCCTGTTTCTACTTCAGCCCCTACTTCCGCTTATTTTACGTTCACATCATTGGAAGCGGGGAGTTCCCTGCCAGCATGACGCCAGCATCTCTGCCGTTCCGTTTCCCTGACGTTAGATGGGCAAAGCTGGACACTTAATAATAACGCCAGTAGAAAATGAACTTCAGTTTTCCTCCCCTGGCTGTTTGTCTCGTGTCTCTGGTGTGCCAGCACATACCGCGCAGCTAGAATGACTTGCACTAAGTAGTTACGATTTCCATGCCCTTTTCTCTTAAACCGGGAGCTCTGTAAAGGTGCCTGGCAAAGTGGAGGAGCGAGAGGAGGAGCGGCTCTGTGTCCTGCATGCATTCACTGACTCGTGTGCTCGTTCCCGCAGAGAAAATGTGCTGGTCCTCTGGGCAGAGCAGCAGCGCGGCCCACAGCAGCGCAGCCCTGCACGGAAGCGCTCTCGGCCGAAACAGGAGCCCAGCAGGATTCTGCACCGGCTGGAAGCCCCTCTTGCTCATCATACCTCTCCGGCTCGGGATAAATCACATCAACCCCGTGTACATTGACGCCTTTAAAGTAAGGGGTTTTCAGGGAGTTGTTAGTGTGGAGTAAGTGCGGGTATCTGTTACGTCAATAAACAAATCCTTTTTCTCCCTTTGAACTCCTAGGAGTGCTTTAAGATGCCACAGTCTTTGGGAGCACTAGGAGGGAAACCAAATAATGCTTATTATTTCATAGGATTTTTAGGTAAGGAAAAAAGAAACTTATTCCAAATAGGCACATGATGCAGAGAGAAAGGGGTCTGGGTTTGGGTTGTTTTGGAAGGGGACATAGTGAGCAGTTTCAGCATGGAAACAGAGTAGAAGAAAGGAAGAAACATACCTCCAATACTTCAGGCGCAGAGTGGTATCATCCCTCCAGGAATGGAACAGTAGCAGCAAGGCTTGCTGTGAAAATAAGTAATGATGTAAGCAGGAACAGCACGCCAAGAACAGTTGGTGGCACCCGACAAGTGTCAGTGTCACTGCTAAAATACTGTTGTGGTTTTTTTTTTCCCTAATCATTAATACTTCCTAATGAAGGGTGTCTTGGTTTTTCTTGTGCTTCACAGCCTGCTTCAATTATTTCATCATATTTGAGCAGTATCTCTTTCATCCTCTTCCACATCTTCCTTTAGTACTTAAAGCAACAGTTCAGGCCAGTTTCAGCCAGATTTCATCCCAGTGTGATCCATAATTTTATGGATATTTTGTTCTTCCTTTGGTAAAACCCCAAGTGTTTCAGTTGGACTTTGCTGTTCCAGTTTCTGAGCGAATGCCTAGTGGGATTACAGGCCGCAGTTGTGGTCATGCTGTACTGCCTGATCTGTGGAACGTTAGGGATTACAGCAGTTGGCATGTTTAAAAAATGTACCGGGCCTCACAGAGCAAGAGGAAAGTATGTGACAGAACAAGCCAACCAAAACTTCTGCAGCAGTGGGTCCCATAGGACACGGTACTAACTACCCCGCGGGACACTACTGCAGCTTTCCAGTTCTCCTGAAGGAGCTGGAAGGTCTAGATGTTGACTGTGAGGACAATCTAACTTCTGTGTCACAAGTCTGGGTGGAGTAAGTGTGTATGAAAGCCTCTTGCTTGTTACTGACATAGGGATCTTCCCCACGCAGGCAACGAGCTGATCTACTTGGACCCTCACACCACTCAAAGCTTTGTCGATTCGGAAGAAGATGGCACAGTTGATGACCAGAGCTTCCACTGCCAGCAAGCGCCACACAGAATGAAGATCATGAACTTGGACCCGTCAGTGGCTTTGGTAGGTTTTAGGAAGTAGTAGATGTGCGTAGTAACGCTTCCGAGTAAAGCCTCTGCGTGTCGGTGAGGGCAGCGATGCGTTTCCTCGGGCAGAATCGGTCGCAGGGATCTCCTGCGATCTCAAACTCAGCACGTGGCAGTTGCTAGATGAGCAGCATAGGGTAATTAATGTGGGATCGAGCAGGGAACTGGCTGTTGGTACCGTGGGAGCTGACGCCAGCTCTTACCGTGCGGCGTTTACCTGTGCAGGAAGGGCTTTGAAGGTCACAGCAAGGAACCAACTCAGTTTCCTTATTTTCCTCCATCACTACCACGTGTGTGTTGTCACTCTGGACAGGTTACTTGAGCTTAGGTTATTTTCTGCCATAATTTAGACGTAGTTCCGTTTAAAGCTTTGTAGAAGCCTCAGTTTCACATCTCGGGAATACTGTGGGAGTTGAAGCAGTTGAAGCCGAGCCCGTGCCAGTGTCCTTTGGTTGGGTTACGGGCGCTGGTCACTCGAGACGTGTTTCTGAAGCTTTTAACGATGCTCACAGATAGCGCAGCATCCTGCGCTCACGGACAGTGGTGTTATTTAATACTACTCCTGCGTGTATTTCTTTTCCTCAGGGCTTCTTCTGCAAAGAAGAATGCGACTTTGATAGCTGGTGTAGTCTTGTACAAAAGGTAAGAACGCCGCCTGCGCCGTGTGAAAGGGTGTGTGCTTTGGGGTTTTCTAATGGCACTTCCCGTTAGCTCTTTCCTGCACGCGGATTCAGCGAGCCCCGGAGGAGAACGCGTTAACGCACCAGCGTGAGGCCACGCCACTGCGCTGCTCCTCGGCGCTCGGTCAGCGTTCTGACAGCCACGAACCCTGACGCTGGAAGATGAGAATAAATACCTGCCCTCACGAGTTTTTTCTTTTTTCAGCACTGGCTGAAATTTAGTCATTTACTGAGAAAGAAATGTTAAAAGTAAGTTTTAACTGCCATGTTGCAGCTGTTCACCTGATCTTTTTTTTTCTTTGATGCCATATTATTACGCATTCTAATTATGACCCTTAGCCCCTCGTACCTGGATAATCTGATTCCCCAAGTGCTGGATCCTTCCAGCTCCCACTGAACTGCTGGACACGAAAGGTGCTTGGTGCCCCAGGAAAGGGCCGTTGGGACATTCCTGCACGGAGTCGGTATAGGGAGCAACAGAAATAGGAGTGTGCAGTGACATCAGCCTCTCGAGGCCTTTGCTAAAGGCTAAGGGAAGTGGTTTGTAAACAGCTGAAATGCAGGATGTGATGGAGCGGAGTTTGGGTTCAGTAATAACTTGTTTCTCCTGATCAAAATCTACCCTTTGAAATCTGTTGGTTTTTTGGAGTCGATGGATCTGTCATTTGTCCCCATGGATCAACAGAAACTTGTGCGCAGAGAGGGTCATGCAGCTGATTTTCTTTCAAAAGGCAGAAAACCCCGTACGTTCGTGGGGTCCGTCCGGGAGGCGTAACCGGATCGAGGGGTGTTTGGGTATCGGAGCTGGGTAGAACCCACCGCTAACCTGGGGGATGGTTCGAGATCCGCCCTGCAGGTGTCATTGAGGGCGGAAGGTACCGGAGCGCTGCGAAGCCGTGGGGCCCGGTGGCGGTGCTTGAAACTGTACTCGCCGCTTTGCGAGGCACACACCTAACTCGGAACATTAACGGAGCGGGCAGGGGGCGTGCTCGGAGCTTCTCCCGAGGCACCTTTTTAAAATGAACGCATTCTGTCCTCAGGAGATTCTGAAGCAGCAGAGTCTCCGGATGTTTGAGCTGGTCCAGAAGCACCCGCCCCACTGGCCGCCTTTCATACCTCCCACCAAGCCAGAAGTGACGACGACGGGAGCAGGTACAGCCCTGCGGAACGCGGCCGCTCGGCAGACAGGAGGGTGACGATGGGGAACAACTCCGCGCTCCCGAGCGGCAGGCGGTCGCCGCGCCCCAAAGGCCCCATCCGTAGTTACCCACTGAGGGTTGCTAGTTCTGATGTTTTGGGTGTTTTAATCCTGCTTTGAAGGACACGTTCCAGAAAAGTGGGCGTTCTGTTGGTGGTTTTAAGCAAACAAAACCACGTGTGGCTTTAGATTCTAAGTGGTTTCGTTATTTTTTGCAGAACTCATTGAATCTACTGACAAGCTCTTCGAACTGGAGGAAGAATTTGAAATCCTGAGCGTATGAAGGAAACCGCGGTCACCCTCTGAGTACCGGACATACTGCTGGTATTGTTGTGTTGACTTCAACAGCCATGTTAGCCCCAAAGTGCCTGAAATGATGGGTAACGGAGCACAAAAACCTAGTAGCATCCAAAACTCCAACAGTGGCAGTTGCTGCTGTCAGCGAGCTTCCCCAGCTGGAAAGGCCGAAAGTGATCTTAGTAAGACCCTTAAGGGAACCTTTTTAGTGTGTCTCACCTGCAGACAAATGGACCTTTGAGATAAGGCAAAAACAAGTGGCCGGGCTGTGAGTTTGGAGAAAGGGATAACACCAAATGGGTATTTCTTGCTCTCATCTAATAATGCAATAGTTTGGTTTTTAAAGCAAAACAGTCTTCAGTTAAGGAGGATGTTTACTTCTGTTCCCTCCTGCGGGCTGCGTCGTAGAAAAAACACAGTGTCTTGTTTAAAAGATCGACCGGATCAGAAGAGAAGTGTTTCCTTGTTAAATATTTTAACATGTATTTGAGCAACCACACTTTATTACAAAAATGTTTCTGTAAAAGGAACTGTGTCTAATGTATACGTTTTGCAATAGCCTTCCTGTTCCCGGGAAACCTCAAGAGGAACGGGAGACGCCAGCAGTAGCTATCGATCACAACCACTGGTAGAGCTATGATGCATTTCACCTTGACCTTAAAATTCAACCATTAAAGCTTAGCCTGACTTTCCTTTTTGGAGCTAAAATGAGTCCAAGGTGGTTTAACTGTACCTTATTTATTTTCCAAAAGATTTACACAAGTTTCTCTGTTACAGCACTTTATCTGTGCATGTAATAAATTTCTTAAGCTTTTCCTAGGTTGTATGCTGCTATATTTTGTTAATTTCTTTATCTGAACTAAATATAAGCCAGGTTATCTGAAAACTTAACGTATAGGCATGTGCAAGTTACTTAATGGTTGGCTTTTTTGGACTTGTTGCCTTTTGTAGTCTGTTTTGGTAAAAGTGCCTTAAGGCTCCAGGTTTCTGAGGGCAGCCTACGGGGTTTCATTCCCAGGGCAGAACCTCTCTAGCAGCCGTAAGGCGAGCGGCTCAGCGTCAGGAAAGGCGGAGGAGATCTCTCCGTCCCTCCCAAAGCTCCCGTTCGCCAGCAGGCAGTCCCCGGCGCGGCTGTTTTGCCGTGACGGTGTAACGAACGTGCATCTTCACCAATAAACGACAACGCAGCGAAACGCTGAATGCTGTCTCCTCTCGCTTGCAGTTCTTGATCAGGGCCAGTGGGATTTCCAGGAAAATAGGTAACCAGGTCGTATTTCATCTTGTTTGCCATCAAATGTTTATAAACCACAGTTTGGAAACGATACAGCTAGAAAATACATCGTTTTCTTCCCCTCTCCAAGGATGAGCTGCATGGGTTTTTTAAAACAAAGCATTACTTCTTAATTAATACATGAACTTACTGTTCATATAACAGCAACTGTCCTCCCCATGGACAAGAGTGAAATCCTCAGGCTTGAGCAGGAACTGCTAAGAAAAATAAAAGCCCCGAGGTTAAAAAATAATACAAATCCATCAGTGGAGCACGGCCGGCTGATTCCGTAAACACCGGTGGGAGAAGTGTTCCTGGGGGAGTAACCGGGTTTCTGAGAGCGGGGCTGGTGGTCGGCAT